TTTTTTTTTTTTTTTTTATAAAGTAGAATTTAAAATCATCATAATGCCACTGTTATGGACTGAATGTATGTCCCCCGAATGTGTATGTTGAAGCCTAAACCCCAGTGCGATGGTATTTGGAGGTGGAACCTTTCGGAGGGAATTAGGGTGAGATGAGGTCATGAGAGCAGGGCCCCCGAGATGGAATTAGTGCCCTTATAAGAAGAGGAAGAGGCACCGGAGCTCACTCTCTCTCTCTGTGCAGCCAGAGAGGCCTTGTGAGGATGCAGGGAGAAGGCGGCTGTCTGCAAGCGAGGAATAGAGCCCTCACAAGGACCCTCCCCGCTGGCACCTTGGCCTTGGACTCCGAGCCTCTAGACCTGTAAGAAATAAGTGCCTGCTGCTTTGTGAGAGCAGCTGACTCAGGCAGCCACTCCCCAGAGGTTACTACTGTGAACATTGTGGTCAGTTTCTTTCCAGCCTTTTTTCCACGAATAGATGCATTTTGTTCCTTTCTCTTGTCACAGCTGTGGTCCTGCTCCTCTTGCTTTCCTTTTTCTTTTCAGTTGGCTGTTAACCTCTCCCCCCCATCAGTCTTTTTCTACCCCATGATCTTTATTGATTGCATCGTATGCCATTGCCGTGGTTCCTCTAACCAGTATCCTGCTGTGCTAGTCAGCTTGGGCCGTCATAACAGAAAATCACAGACCGGGCTCCAACAGCAGAAGCTTATCACCTCACAGCTCTGGAGGCTGCACATCCAAGGTCAAGGTGCCAACAGGGGTGGTTTCTGGTGAGGCTTCTCTTCTTGGCTTGCAGAGGGCCACCTTCTTGCTGTGTCCTCACATGGCCTTTCCTCTGGGCAGGGAGAGAGAGAGACAGAGAGAGAGAGAGGGAGGGAGGGAGGGAGAGGGGGATCACTGGTGTCTCTTTCTCTTCTTATAAGGACACCAGTTCTATTGAATTAGGGCCTCACCCTTATGACCTCATTTAACCTTAATCACCTCCTTAGAGGCCTCATCTCTACCTACAGTCACATTAGAGTTAAGGCTTCAACATAGGAATTTTGAGGGGACACAGTCCATCACACCTACTGTCGGACAATGAATCTTTCTGTACGTTTTGGTTGTTGTTATAAACAGTACTGGGATGAACATCTGCAGTAAGAAATATTTCTGAATGTCTCTGATTCTTTGCTTGGGTTAAATTCCTGGAAGTAGAATTGTTGGGAGAAAGAGTGAGATGTTTTAGACAAATGTGTGTTGAGTAGCGTGCGTGCCCCTAGGCGCTCCTGGCTGGAGAGAATGAACCTGCCCATTCTCCAAGCGCTCTATTTTACGTGTGTTACCTATGAGGTCCTCTCTCACAGTAGTCCGGTCGGTTACAGACAACAGGCTTGATCACGATCCCATTTAGCAGATGAGGAAACTGAGGCTCAGAAAAGCAAAACAAAAGTCCAAGGCCAGGCAGCTGGCCTGCGTCTCTCTGGGCAGGACCCAAATGTTGATGCCATTTCCCTGGCATTGCAGTGACCTCAGTGGCAGCTGGGTTTGCTGGGTGAGGCCTTTCTCTTTGCTTTAGTCACTTATTCAGTCTCAGCCTCAGGACATTTGGGTTTATTCCCCTCCAAACAGAAAGGGCTCTTTGTATTTGCTTCCTAGACTTGCGCTGTCCAATACAGCAGCCGCCACCCGCCAGCCACCAGCTGCCACCCGCCACCCCCATGTGGCTACTGAGCACTTGAGTTGTGGCTCCTTCAAACTGAGATGTGCTGTGTATAAAACACACACCAGACTTCGGACACTAGAATGACAAGCAAAATGTAAAATATCTCAGTAAGATTTTTTTGGGTATCGATGACATGTTGACGTCATAGTATTTTAGTTATATTGGGTTTAACAAAATAGTATTAAAATTATTTTCACTTGTTCCTTTTGACAATGAAAAAAATATGGCTACAAGAAAATGTAAAAGCATACGTGTGTCTTACATTATCTGTTTTTGGACAGCGCAGCTCTAGGCCATGGGCCCGGGCATTGACCTTTCATCCGAGGGAACTCTGAGGGGCAGGGACTTAGCCCTGCTTGGCCTTGCTTGTTGAGTGACTGGATACAATCTCTCCCTGTCTCTGGGCCTCGTTTCTAAACTGGCCAGTGAGTGGTTTGAACCAGACCCACATGCCGCTTGGTGTATCCTGTTTGCTTGGAGGACCAAGTGTAAAACATTTTTTAGTTACTTTAGGTTTTAGATTTAGATTTTCATAGAAAAACTGGAAGATCTGGCAATCCCAGATGTGCACGGCAACAAAGAGCTGGAGCTGAGTCGGGGTTGTCCCCTCTGTGTGGGGGCTGTCCCCTCAGTTTGCTCCAGTCCCCACCACTCCCTGATGTATCCCAGACCTGCTTTCTCCATGAACATTTCCAGCCAGGCCCTGAGGCTTGAAGGCTCAGGAACTTGCCACCCCTGGACTTCCTGCTGCTTCTGCTCTTTGAGACAGGACCCACCACCCCAAGCTTTCAGCACATTTGGGGCTTTCTCCTGATCCAAGAGTTCCTCTTCCCCGTTTGAGAACTTTTCTTTTCCCGAGGGTGAGGCTTAGCGGAAAAGTAATTTGAAAGCAGAGCTCAAACAGAATTTGAGATCAGAAAATGCTCCTGGAAGTGTCTCTTTCTTGTGGCCTGGGGCTATGGGATCCAAGCATGAGCAAGGCAGCTGGTGCGAGGACATGCCGGACAATTTCCAGATCAAACCAACAGGAGACTGTCCCCCCGGCAGGACAGCCTGTGGCCACGGGCAGCACCCTCATCACCTCCGCGGGCTCAGTGGGTCTGGGCTTGGACAACTGCCATTTGGACCAGGAAAGAGGAGACGAAAGGGGAGCTGTGTGCATTATAAGTAAAAGAAAAGCCAGCCAGGCCGAGGCAAACGGCATTGTGCGCGTCTGTGAAAGGCTCTGAGAGGCTATACAATGCTTCCCAGGCTCTCTCGGGGAGGCTGGCCACAATCCAGAGCAACCGGGCAAGCGAGGGGCCAGCAGGTGGGCAAACACCTGACTCAGACGCTCCTGGGAGGCTGTTTCCTTCCCCGGTGGCTCCTGCGCGCTATGTAGCTGCCAAAGGAAGCAAGGTTCTGCCTGCAGTCGCTGTGGGAGCCCCAGAGGGGTTGGCTGGTGTTAAAACTCAGAAGGGAGGGCAAGGTCAGGGTCGAGGACCCATTTACACTGTTTTCCTGCAGGCTGATCATGGACAAGCTGTTTGTGGTTGGACAGGGAGGGGGCGTGCTTCCCTTAGGCCTCTGCTCTCCAACTGCGGGACCATCAGTTACACGCCAGTTTCAAGGAGAGCCCCTCAAATCGCCAGTGTTTGCTGCACCTGCTACATGCAAGGCCCGTTGTTAACTGCCCTGAAAGCTGCCGATGTGAATACAGCTCAAACCGGCAGGCAGGGGGAGACTTCGGAGGTTTTGAAACAGGCAGTGCCCCACGGGGGCCATATTCCCTACGCGCCTCCCCTCTGTTCCCCAGAGTCCAGCATCTACCTTCTGCTTCCTCCCTTTTCTCCTTCCGTAAAGGCCACATGGCATACAGACAAAAGGGCAGGACTCTGGGTAAGACTAGAACCACCCTGCTGCTTACTAATTCTTCAAGTCCCAACACCAGTACTTACTCTATGCGTGACCTCACTTCTGAACCTATCAGAGACTCCAGAAGCTCAACGACATTGTCACAGAATAGACTTTTTAATGTTCCCACCCTGCCATCCTCAGTGGTTTAGGGTTTCATCCCATGCTGGTTGCTTCATGGTCACAATAAGGCTGCCAACACTGCAGCCTTCATGTGTATATTCAAGGCCGGAAGAGAGGGAAGAGTGACAGTAAGTCTGCCTTTCTTGTTCTTATCTCATTCACTAAGAAAGCCAAAGCTTTTCAGCACCTCACATCCCAGTGGCTATGCCTAGCTGCAAGGGAGGCTGGACAGCAAGTCTCTGGCTTGATTCAGTGTGTTTAGAAGTTAGTGGCGAGGCAGAGTGGGTGGATGATTGTTGGGTTGGCCAACCAACAGCAAGGGCATACCCAACTCCGGATTTCCAGTGTAGCCTTTCAGCATTCCCTCATCGGTCTTTTCCCTTCTAGAAGAAAGGGCTTGGGATAGGGTAGGGTTAGTTGCCTGCTTTTAACAAACTTTCATCCCTGTGGCCCTGACTCCAAGACCCAGTTTCTTTTTTGTCCCGTAGACAATGAGTTGAGTTCTGGCAGGTTCCAGATTAAGGCGGAATGCCAAGACTGTGGTTTTGGTAGTTCCCGTGGAAGTGCCCCCCCCAGCCAGCCAGAGGACCCACCCAGAGCCTGAGCTGCCAGGTGAAACCAGGATCACGTCTGAGAAGGAGGCCTGTGTGCACACATGCGCGCGTGTTCCACGTCTCCATCTCACCCCATGGGGCTTGGCGCTCCCCAGGGCTGCTCGAGAGCAGAGTCCTTGTGTTTTCCAGGTTTGGGGTGATCCACTCGGTGTTCACCAACCTGCTTCTGTGGGCCAACAGTGTCCTGAATGAGTCGAAGCACCAACTGAACGAGCACAAGGAGCGGCTCCTCACCCTGGGCTTCGGGAACATCACGATAGGTGAGTGCGAGAGCTGCAGTGTGGACTGTCGGGAAGGCTGCAGGGGCCAGATGTCCAGAGACAAGGCGCAGGTTCCAGAGAACTGCAGGGCCCGCCCGACTCAGCCCTGGCCGGACGATCCTCTGTTGTTGAAAATCTTTTCAAACCTCCCGAGCCTCTCCTCCTGGTTCCATAAGTAGGGTGCACTGAGCCTAATGGAAGGTTTCTTCAGTGACTCAGGGGCTTGTCAGAGCCAAGGGTTATCATCAGGATCGCCACTGACATGGTCGAGGGCAGGATGGAAATGAATGTCTTTGTTTACAACTAGGGAAGATTGGCAGTTGCTTCTGACTGTATTTAATTAAGCCTTCATTCTTTCTACTAAAAGTATAGCTTTTAAAAATCCATAGACGTCTAATGGTAGGTCTTGGTTCATCGATTTTAGTTCATTTGAAGTTTGCATTGAGCTCTACTTTGCTTATAATTTTGGCCCGTCTTTACTCCCCCTTATTCCGATGTGAGAGCCTGTAGCACTAATCTCTGTTTTCTTCCAAAGTCCTTTAGTGTTTATGAGCTGTGGCTGCGACAGCAGAACACTGGGGTAGAGAGGAACGTGGGCTAGAGGAAGGTTCAATGTACCGGGACTGATGTCTCGGGTTTGGGTCTTGTTCCTGCCACGTACTAGCTGTGTGACCTTGGGAAGCCATGCAACCTCTCTGAACCTCCCTTTTCTCATTTGCAAAGTGAGGGGACGTGAACCATGTATGTTCAAAGAGCCCTTCCAGCTTCACTGTACTAATATCTATACTAACTGTACGACCCACAGAGAGCAACTGTAAACCTGCTTCCTCACCAGGGGGGTGGGGATGGTGAATTCGGGGCACACTCTGGATTTCTGCACCACCCCCAACCAGCAGCCCACTCTTGGGCAGGCCCTTCTCTCTTCGGGCCTCATCTCCTCGTTGGTGTCAATGACAGTAACAGCAATGACAACGATGATAGAAACAAAGTTCTGCTAAGCATTTGCTGAGTGCCTGGCACTGTTCCAGGCACTGGATGTGGCTCTTATAATTCGCTTCCAACACTCTGAGGCAGGCGGTGTGGACCNTAGCAATGACAAGGACGATAGAAACAAAGCTCTGCTAAGCGTTTGCTGAGTGCCTGGCACTGTTCCAGGCACTGGATGTGGCTCCTATAATTCGCTTCCAACACTCTGAGGCAGGCGGTGTGGACCTCACTGTAGGAACGAAGCCATTGCACCACAGAGAAGTTAAGTAACTGGTCCAAGATCGCACAGCAAATAAATGATGAAGCCAGGATTTGAATCCTAGCATTCCAGCCCCAGAAACCTCTGTGAAAGAGGGAACTTGATTAATTTTTTAGAAAGGACTCCATCAGCTCTAACATTCTGTTAATTGAACCTTTCCCCTGATTCCTTCCCATCTCGCATGGCACTGCATTGGGTTACAAGTGGTGGGAAGCGCCTTCCGCAAAAGTGAGGGTGCTGAATGCTACTCAGAGCTCCTCCACCTGACCTGGTAAATAATACATGCACATCATAAATTAAAACAGTGACAAAGTGCATAGAAATACATCCACAATCGTATCTACACAGAAATTCAGTGAAATGCAGTTACCACTTTGTTATTTCCTTGTAGTGTGCTCTTTATGGATAGCTGAGATCACACTGCATGTATTTTATCTTTATTTTGACTGCAGCCTGCCATAAGAAACAGACTTTACATTACAACCCAAATATACACACACTTACATGTGTGTACACAGATACTATGAATAATCAATATATCAGAGAACTCTCACATTTCTAATGTATTCCATTCATTAGAATGGAATTCCATTCATTTTATCTTATTTTATTCCATTGCAATTCTATTCTGTTAAAAAATCGGTTGTTACTTTCTAAATTGATTTTACAACTGAACACTGGGTTGTGATAGGCATTGNTAATTCCATTCATTTTATCTTATTTTATTCCATTGCAGTTCTAGTCTGTTAAAAAATCGGTTGTTACTTTCTAAATTGATTTTACAACTGAACACTGGGTTGTGATAGGCATTGAAATACTGGATATAGAATTTTTGTGTACCACTGAAACACAACTTAGCTATAATTTTTAATGGCTGCCTCCTATCCCATTTAATTTATAAATTGTTACACATTGAGGTATTTCTCTCTCTCTCTCTCTCTCTCGCACACACACACTTTTACCTATAGCTTTAACTATATTTTGGATTTATCCCTTAGAATGGATTGGAATTCTAGGCCAAAGGCCATATTNGCACACACACACTTTTACCTACAGCTTTAACTATATGTTGGATTTATCCCTTAGAATGGATTGGAATTCTAGGCCAAAGGCCATATTGACATCGTCTGGAAGGCTTTTGTCACGTATTTCATTATTTATTCATAGCATTTTCACTCCCGGCTATGAAATGTTTCTTTGTACCGTGACCAAGTGCCTTCCGGAAGGTGGCGCAAACGTGCCCTTCTGCCATCTGGGTGCCAGGGTGCCGGTCCCACCTGCTAGCATCGGGAATTCTCAAGAGGAAGACCTTTGCTAATGAGAAGGGCCTTTTCCCTCACAAAGTTATTTTTTAATAATAACTTTTAAGTCACCTATGTACATCGTGTTCACATCAAGAGTTTAGAAAATGCAGGGAAGCAAAATCTGTAAGAAAATAATATGTCGTGCACCATAAACTCGCACAATGTTCGTGTTAATTTTATCTCAGTAAAGCTGGGGGGAAGGGACATATAAAAGGTTTCCTTTACTGAAAAAATAGAAAAGAAGAATCAGCTGCCATTTTCCTCCCAGGGATAACCATTGTTAACAGTTTTGTTTATGTCTTTCAGCATTTTGTATGTCTGCCTGTCATCTGTAGGTCTATAATTTACAAAAACAGAGTCACGCTCTGGCCTCTTTGGCCAGCTGCTTTTTTGGCTCAACAAACTCTTGTGAACATTTTTGTATGTTGATAAGTAAATTTCTACATTTATAATGGCTTTCTAATATATTATTCCAGTGCATGGATAAAACCGGATTCATGTAATCCATTCTCTTTCGGGGATGTTCGTGGTGGTCAGTTTAGCCGTGACATTCAACATGAAAACAAGCCATGAAATGAAGCTTCCAATTCATTGGGAAGCCCCAACCCGAACCCCCACTGAAAATGTCCTTGTGCCCGCCTGTCTTCCCAGAGCTGGATGACCACACGCCCCCGTGTAACTGCAGCCCCCCGGCCCTCTGCTCCGCCATCTCCCAAGGGATCTATTACCTGTACCCCTTCAACATCGAGTACCAGATCCTGGCGTCCACGATGCTCTACGTCCTGTGGAAGAACATCGGGCGCAAGGTGGACGGCCCGCAGCGCCCGAGGATGCGGCTCCGCTTCCAGGGGGTGGCGGCGGGCTCGGCCCTGGGCCTGGGCGCGCTGGCCGCCACCATCGGGGTGGTNCCACCATCGGGGTGGTGGGGGTGTACCTGGTCCAGATCGGCCGCTCCAGGACCCGGAGCGAGTCGGCGCTCACCATGTTCTACCTGTACGCCACGGCCCTGCTCGCGCTCATGGGCGCCGCGGGGCTGGCGGGCACCCGCATCTACAGGCTCGATCACGAGCAGCCGCTCGACGAGTCCAAAAACCCGGCCCGCAAACTGGACGTGGACCTCCTGGTGGGCACGGCCTCGGGCTCCTGGCTGCTGTCCTGGGGCTCCATCCTGGCCATCCTCTGCGCCCAGGCCCGGCCCCCGTACACCTGGTACAACCTGCCCTACTCCGTCCTGGTCATCGCGGAGAAGTACATCCAGAACCTGTTCATCATCGAGTCTGCCCACCGGGAGCCGGGGGCGCTGGCCGAGGACATCAGGACCCTGCGCGTGGTCTCGGTCTGCAATGGTGCTGGCCCGTCCCCCGCGCCCCCCTGCCTCAAGAGTGGAGCCGAGGCCGGGGACACGGCTCCCTCGGGCAGCCAGATGCCACCTGTGGTCAACGGAGACATGTGTCTGAGAGAAGGCAGTGGCCGAGGGGAAGCGGGGCCGAGCTGGGACGGGGCCCCGGGCCCCGCCTGCCGCTCCCGGTTCTTGCAGGGAAACGCCAAGCGGAGTGTCCTGAGGAACATTACGGCCTTTCTGTTCCTCTGCAATATTTCGGTAATCAAGTTTCTTATTTATTTGTTTGTTTGTTTATTTTTATTGATTTCAGAGAGAGGAAGGGAGAGGGAGAGAGAGAGATGGAAACATCAACGATGAGAGAGAGTCATTGATCGGCTGCCTCCTGCACGCCCCTGACTGGGGATCGAGCCCGCAACCTGGGCATGTGCCCTGACCGGGAATTGAACTGTGACCTCCAGGTTCATGGGTTGTTGCTCAACCACTGAGCCATGTGGGCCAGGCAAGTTATTTATTTTTAAAAAATCAATCCATTTCTTGTGTCCTTTCCTGATAAGGAATGGAGGCAGCTTGTAATCAAAATAATTTAGTATAAGGTTAAAAAGTGAGGCTGGAGTGCAGGTCTATAGTCTGCAAGTCCGGTGGGAGAGGGAAACAAGGGAAAAATGTAATACAGTGAGTGTGGCAAGAAGGGTGCAGGGAGGGGCTTCAGTGAGGAGGGGGTGCTTGAGCTGAGGCCTGGCCTTAATTAGGAGTGATTCTGGCTGCAATTTATAGGAAGCTTGACTAGAAGTGTCCTCAGTCTTAAAGACAAGAATTCTGGAGGTTGGCTTCCCAGGGTTGGCCTGGCAGCCGAGCCCTATCATCCAGGATCCGGGCACTGTTCCCCTTTCCCCTCAACCGTGCTTGGTGTGGTGCTCATTGCCTCATGGTCTTAAGGTGGCTGCAGCAGCACCAGGCATCGTGTCTGGTTTCGAGACAGGGGAAAGGAGGAAGTAACTGGTGCCAGGTGATGTCTTTCATGGGGCCACTCCTGGCTGCCAGGGAGGCTGGGGAAGTGGATGGTTTGCTTCCCAGCCAGTCACTCAATATTGTCTGCCTCAGCCTCAAGGAGTGGTTGGAAGGTTACCAGATAGTCGAGGCAAGGAAAAGCCCTTTGGGCAGAGGGCACGGGATGTGCAAAGACACAGAGGCAAGAGAAACCATGGCCCCCTTGAGGAGCATCAAGTAGTTTAGCGTGAATTCTGTACGCGTTAAGCAGAGCAGCAGGGTGAGAAGTGGATGGAGGGTCCAGTCAGTGGGTCAGCCTGAGCAGAGCTGCATAAGCCTGGCTGTTCTGGTCCTTATGCCGAGGGCCTTCATTCTGCGTTTTGGAATGATCCCCTTAGCAGCAGCGTGCGGGCAGGATGGGGGGGTAGGACCGAAGGCAGGAGCCTGGAACAGATGCCCCTGCAGCTGCTCAGGGAGGGAACGATGAGAACTTGGACCAGGGGTGGAGGGAAGAGAGAGGAATACGGAGCCTTGAGTGTGGTGGGATTTGCCCTAGAGAACATGGAAGGATGGCAGGGCTTGGTGGAAAGGGTGAAAAGCAGCCCTCGGCCCCACACAGGCCTCATAAACAGAGGGTTTATGATCCCTCCTAGGGGGCAGATTTTAAGCATGCTGTGAAGAATCGAGAAGACATGATCTTATTTGCATAAAAATCTAATTTGGCAGCTGAGTGGCAAATAGACTCTAGGGCAAGTGTGGAAGCAAGGAGAGCGAGCAGTCAGGCGGCCACTGCAGTAATCCAGGCGAGAGGGGAGGGCGGTCACCTGGACAGGTGGCGGTGGGAAGAAAAGGGTGACCTAGGATGTCACTTTGGAGGCACAGTTGTCAGGCACAGTCGTCAGAATTGGGTGGCAGGTGGATGGTCATGAGAGTCAGAGGGAAAAAGAGGTGATGCCTGGAGTTGTGACTGAGCAACTGGGAGGAAGATGTTGCTGTGAGAAGGGGGCAGTGGGGCAGGCACGTTGAGTTTGAGATGAATGTAGGCACCCAGGTAGCCAAGGGACACACGAGCCTGGGATTCTCGAGGGTGGACCAGGCTGGTGGTTTACACTGGGAAGTCGTGGGCTGGTGGCTGGTATTTACAGCTGGGCATGTTGTATGTTATAACCTGGCGAGGGTATAAACTTGACACTGGGGTTTGTGTGCAGAGAGGAGGACCCAGGAATGAGCCCCCGAACCAGCTAACATGAAGAGGCTGAGTGAAGGAGGAGGACCCTAGCCTGCCAAAGAGCCAGGGAGGAGCCAGCCGGGGGGG